CTAGTTTTAGACTAAACCCAGTTGAAAATAAGTTAAAATGTAGTAAAAACGAGCTAAAAAATGGTTGGCCGCCATTGTTAGGGTTTGACAGAAACTTGGTTGTGTTGGAGAAGATGAACTGTAAATTATGATTTTACCTTTTTTGAATAAGTCTACCACTACTATAAATAAGTCTACCACATATTATAAATCTACCACTACTACAAATAAGTCTACCACATATTATAAATCTACCACTACCACGACTATAAATAAGTCTACCACATATTATAAATCTACCACTACTATAAATAAGTTTACCATCGCTAACAATCAATAAATCTACCGATCAACAAATATAAATTTACCAAGGAAAGTAATAAGTCTACTACATAATATAAATCTACCGCCACTATAAATAAGGCTACCATCGATAACAATCAATAAGTTTACCGATCAACAAATATAAATCTACCAAAGAAAGTAATAAGTCTACTACATAATATAAATCTACCACCACTATAAAAAGTCTACCATCACGATAATCAATAAGTTTACCGATCATAAAATTAAGTCTACCAATCACAAAATTAAGTCTACCAAACCCGAATTTAAATCTACCATGAAGGCATTTAAATCTACCACTAGTAATTAATCTACCATCACATAGAAATAAATCTACCATTCAACAATAAGTCTACCGAGATAAATCTACCATTCGACTACTAAGTCGACCATTCAAAAACAAATCTACCATTGATGGCGTTAACTCTACCACTCCAAAACATCTTTACCACTGCCTAAAAATAAGTGAACCGATATAAATCTACCACTCAACAATAAATCTACCATTCAAAAACAAATCTACCAACCACTAAATAAATCTACCATCACGTGACCGGTAGACTTATTCGCTTTTGGCGGAAAACTCATTAATGGCAGTTTCGTAAATACGTTTTTTGTTATCAAATGAAATAACGGCAAAACAGGTTTTAAAAATCTTTCAAGATTATTTGAGTAATTATGAAAGATTAGCATCAAAATTTTCAAAAAACCATTTATTAAGACTATTTTAGTAATTTTCCCTATATACTAGTAACATTATTTTTTCAATTTTTGAATAGTCCGAACATCTTTTGTTTAATCAACAGTTTAAATAGTATTAGTTTTGATTTCTCAAAAGAAAAATGTTTAAATGGTCAATGTTAATTTTGGAGTAAAAGCATACATGAGTCATGAAATATAAGAGTATTTATATATAACTTTCTTTTATTTGGGTGGTCCAGGGATCTAGGGTTTATAAAAATCAAAAGAAGAACCAGTGAGAACTGGTCTGGATATATGGACCACTCGATTAACAAATCAATTAACAATGTTAATTATAGTATTATTTACTGTTTAGAGTGCGAAGTACCAAAATAGTAAATTCATATCTACATAAAGTTATATATTGATTAGTTTTAGAGAAACAATACCGAATTAGTAAATTTATTATCTACATGGTTTATATGTACGGAAAGGCATTTTAGTCTTGATATATAATGCGAATAATCTATCTACGAATGCCAATAATGATGCAAATACTGAAAAAGTCGATTGATTATTTTTTGTTTTGTCGACAAAGTCGATTGATTCAACTGTAAAAATTCCACAAAGTACAAAACTATTTTGACAATTTCTCTATATCCAGTTTTGATCTTACTGTATATTTGATTAGTCCAGAGCACGACCACATGCATGCTACTATATATTCTCATATAACTCACTGTCCAAATTAAAGAAGAAATCACCAAATTTGATTTGCATTATATGACTAGATCATCTTCCTGCTTGACGGTTTTAAAACTAAGATGGTGAACAGCAACAGTAATAGGGTTTAGGTCCTCTATTATTCCAAATGTAGATTTCGTTATGATTAGCTTTTCTAATCCATCTCAAATCGAATACTAGTATATATGACACATTCTGATAACAAATTGCGTTTTGATACCAAGTTTAGTTTGATTAATTTTTAGCTCAAAACCAATATCAATAATTATAAGTGGATTAGTTCATGTTCCTCATATATTACTCTATCTCTTCTATTATGTGAGATTGAATTTCCACTTTCTGAATTCAAGACCATAATCAGAAGTCTAATCCGAAAGATATATATGTAATAAAATTGAAAAGCACCCTTAAATTTCTCTGAAAATTTTACAAAAGCAGAAAGAACTAATTAACACACATTTCTCCACTCCTTCAAACCACAAACATCTTCAATAATATCATATATGTTTATTTAAATTAAATACGTCGAACAATATATATGATACTATAAATAATATCACCATATATATATGAAATGATAGAAGAGCTGGTCGGAGAATTAAACAAGATCGGATAAAAGGGAACAATTAATTAATTATCCGGCGAGGATTTAGGTCCTCCTTTGCCGTGGTGATTAGCTGATCTCTCACCTTCGATAACTCGGTAACGATTCAAGTACTTCTTGAGCTGGTCGGCGTAATCATCAAACCCTAGATTTGCCATAGCCCAACAGATATCGTCTCCATTAACGGTCTTTCTCTTCTCCTTGTGGCATTTATCGGAGGCTTCTCCGGTGACGAAGCTGATGAACTCGGATACACATTCTTGCATAGTCTCTTTTGCTTCTTTAGAGATCTTTGCGTTTGGTGGGAGAATGTTCTTCATGATCCTCCCTACGTTTGCTATTGGAAGTAGCCTGTCTTGTTCTTTGATCATCATGTTCTCTTCGTCTTGTTGATCCTCCACCATTAGGCCATGGTGTTGATGTTGGTGATGACCTGAGCTGCTCGCAAAGTTATAATTTTGGAATCTAGGGGTCGGATTTTGGAACGGAGGGTAGTCCCCTGCCATCAACTGATCTTATAAATCAAAGGAGAAATCGGTGTTTTTTTGGGGGATTTACTGCAGTATCAATTGATTGAAATTGATATTTTTGTCACGAAATTATGTAATTCGCCAAATTATATGGCATGAAAGAAAGAAAAGTAAAGAAAAAGGAGAGGTTTTTACATAATGTTTGTATGTAGCAATCTGAAAATATTCGTTTTGACAGAGATTTGTGTAGTCAAATTAGCTT